TCACCGCAACGATGCAAAATCATAGATAATATTCGACTGGAAACCATATTTTCACACAGAGCGAAAACAATCTAAATTGTTTACAGCAATATTTTGAAAAATGTGAAAGTACAACGAAAATTCTTAGAAAAAAAGGATATTCTCATCGTGGTTGACATGTTTTTTCGATTTAGAATTTCCAAATTTGGTAGGTATATTTTGATGTTTTTCAAACTTTTGGTGTGAAAGAGTTAGCCCATGTTCCTCTGTGTAAAAGTAAAGATATTTTGCGGTACCGATGAAAAGCGCGTATTTATAGCTCCGAAAGCTATTTACACAATGGCACCAAACATGCTTTCTGGCATTATTATTATTATTATTCAAACATCTTTGTTCCGGGTCCATGCATTTATCGATTTGTTGTCATCATCAATGTCGTTGAAGGTGTTGAAACTTATTTGTCATGCACGGCTTTTGTTCGCCATTCAAAATATGAGAATATTTTCATTCGGCATCTATGATGTGAGAATTTGTGATGTAATCGGATTTATACGCTCTTTGTCATCGATGGCTTTCTTTATTGAAAATCGGCTCGAAACATTTTGCATCTTTGGGTTTGTTTGCACAATCTACAGTATATGATTCTACACTATATTATTCAATTGATATATTGAGTAAGTGGAAAATTGGATTATCTCCAAGGTAAACGGAAACATATGCTTTCTCATCTATATCCTATCGATGTCTGTGTTGGAAGAAAGAGAAAGAGAGAGACTCAATACAATATACAATTTGAGCATGGCTTGCTTAAGGCGTATCATCAATACATTGAACTTTTCATCGATTTGATAACAGTATTCGTACTAATTTCATGTGCAATCTCCAATTTTGGGCTGAAAATCAATTCCAATTCTCTTAAACAATAAATACCGTAACACGTAAACGATTCAATAACAAAAGGATTTGCATTTTAATCGATTCAAACATACGTAACTCTTTTCAAGTATTGTACATTACTTTAATCACACACATGCATGCTCTACATTAAAATTCCATACATACAAAACGAATCCAATTTCAGGAGCGTAAACACATTTCATAGATGTAATATAGTTTGATAAAATTGGATGAAATTCCGTTGAAATTTTGAAAGCTCTGATGTTATGAATGAAACCTTTTGATTCTTCGAAGCTCAAAACTATAAATGAAGTCGCATAAATTTTGGAGATTTTAATTTAATTACATATTTCAGTCATTTTCTTGAAGTGTTAAAATTGAGACACAGAATCGATTTCCAGTGAAGCAAGTTAATGGGTAAAACATTTTGGAAAGTCAAAGAGATGAAATATTTTACATAAATGACAATCAATTGATTTTAGTAGTGTTATTAGTGATTATTTGAATTATCACCAAAGTTCTGAAGACAGATTTTGACTCTCATTTTCATTCCAATGAAATGGGGCAGATTGTCAAAAAAGAGAAAATCCGAGTTAAAAAATTTGATACAACTTTGACCAATAACATTGTAATCTTAGGTCAATTAGTTCCATTGGCAATAATTCGATCATCATAATGAACGCATATTCTTATGCCCTGAAATGATTTGACTTGCTTTCCACTAGTTGTGAATAATCTTCACAAAGAAAATGTCATTGTCATTTAAGAAAAAAAAAGTCGTTCGAAAAACTATCGTGCATAGAACGTGTTTTAATTATAATAAAATGAAAATTCATTTAATGTCAGAGTCTTCATGAACGATGTTCGGATAGCGTTTTTCTCTTTTTCATGGTATAACAAGGTTATGATATGAGTGTGTCTTAAAATAAGATGGAATTCCAAGCAGAATACTAAGGACCTGTAGAGTGTTTTGATTTCACCCCACACTGCACAAAAAGCAGAAGTTGATTTGATTCAAGCGACAATTTCCTTATGTTTACAGGAGCGGCGTCAACAACGGCGTCTTTTAAATACCCCACAAAGATTACGATAGAAAGAAAAAAAGCGGAATTTTTAATGAGATTCTGTGTTGTTGATGATGTAATCTTAACGACTTTTACTTAATTATAATGAGAATGACATTGTCAGCTAGACACAAAAATATAAATGGCATCACATCGAAACGTGCCCGGCGACGCAAACGAGATTTCACCGAAAACATGAAAATAAGCGCTCGTTGTGTGCAAACAAAATGAATACTCCTTAAACATCTGTATGCTGTCTTCAGCGAAAACAAACGAATATAAATTACGTCGAACAACGGCGGCGGTGGTAGCAGCGTTTGCAGATGGGCTAAAAAAATAAATATATGCATTACGCGAATGTTAAACACAGATGTATTTAAATCATATCGTTTTCAGTGGCTCAAATCTAATCAAATCCATAAAAAGCTCACCATTTCCAAAACTTGGACAGGTGAATTATGAACGTTTTGTACCGTGTCATCCGTACACATTAACCCAAAAAAAAAATTGCATGAGCAACGAACGAGAAATGATCTGAGGTGAAGGGGCACGGCAAAAAAGAATGACATTTCCGGAAATCGTCATTATTATACAATGTTCGCGAATTTAAATGATGATGTCCATTTGTAACACGAGTCGCATTTGCAGGTGCACAATAATTACATGTGCGCCGGAAACGAAAAAAAAAACACAATTCAAAGCGGTGCCGACATTTGACCTCATTACATCATGAATTGTCACGCGAATGCGATTTATCGCTCAAAATCTGGGTTTATTTTGCGGGGGGGGGAGAGAATACGGCCGAAAATGTTATTTAATACGCGCATCGCCTCTGAACTTTCTAATTTTCAGCTTCATTCGGATTTGGATAAATTTTTGGCGAAATCACTTTTTAATTCCATTTGAAATGTAGCGCAGATTTAGCGCAAATGCTTTTTGTCACTTGGTTTTAATGCAAAGCCATCAACCAATATTTGTGCGGTTTGCAGTGTCAACGCAGTCAACTTTTTCAATCGAGATTATGGAATGAATTTCGTCATGGCATATTATGCTACCAATACACCAACTCGACAAACTAATCCATCATCAACGGAATTTTCTCACAAAATCCAATCTAACAAATCCATTTAGTGGGTTGAAAATTATAAAAATTTGCAGACCAGAAAATCCTTCAAATAACCTATTCTCATCGATATAATGTAATACGGTTTTGAAATTGAGTTCAATACATCCTCATTGATGTCAAATATCAAAAAATATGGTGTGATGGTATATACACAATCAATCTCTCTGACCTCTTCGACATAGATAAAAAAAACTGTTGATTTGTGCACCCGCTAAAAACCAACCTGAAAATTTGAAGTCGTTAATTTGGCCATGTCTTTTCGGTCGGTCCATTTTGTAAGCGTATGCTTTTTTGGCTGCTGAGTGTGAAATGTCATTTTGTTCAGCATTTTAAACCTATTAGCAGTTAATGGCAACCACGAAAACACGGTTAAATGAAAATACCCGACAAAACAAAGAATTTCGCAGCGTGAGGTGTGTTTGCAATCGCATTTCGCCGGGTTTTTGCGCCATACCAGATGCTATAGTTAGCTTATTCCTCCGTTTCACATCAAGCGTATCATTTATTTATGCGTTGTTATTTCGAAGCCGACGGTTCTTTTGACTGTGCTCACTGGATGCACATCGACACAGTTCGAGCCCGTCCAAATTTCGGAAAATTGTCTGTGAACGACGATGGCATTCCACACTTTTGCCGTGCGGAATAATTGTTTGGATAATTAAAACTTTCATTATCATGTGAATGAATGTCATTGGGGTGGCGTTGGCATGTATTTTTCGGTCATCATTTCAGCCACATTATGTCGTGTATTTGGATGCGCGTTTGTTGCGGCCTGTGTTTTAACAACAGTTGCACTCCATCACCGCCGCTCTTGATCCGGCAAAATTGTCGATGCACTATTTTATTTTCACATCCCGTCCTTCCGTCTCTCTCTCTCGCTCTTTCTTTCATTTAACAAACAAACTCATTACTTGTGACGGTTTTGTGTATGTATAATTGTATATGCATTGTTTGGTGGGCGGTATTTAATAAACGCGGCTTCAAATTACTTTGACCATGTTACTAACGATAGTTTTGACATAAATTTTCCACAATAATTATATTTTGAAGTCAAAGAATTGCAACATGCAGGCTCTACAACACTTGCAAACAAAAACTAGTAACAATAACAATACACACATATAATGAGCAGCCGATGGTCGTTTGTCCGTTGCTGCTGACGCAAAAATTATTAAATTTATGGAGAAAATGTAATTACACAGCATTCAACCAAAAACGCACTAATGTGCATATCGTTCAAACCCTTTTCGCCAAAAAAAACATTTAAATTATGGCGTGGCTCAGTTTTTCGCCTAGTGCTTCATGTCTATTTTGTCGACGTTGCCAAAGTGTTGAAATGACACAAACACCAAACCGAACACAAATTTTCCAAATAAAATACAAGCCAAAATATCAACCAGTTAGTTATTGGATTAAATAAATTACATTGCATTGGTATACACAGGAAACGCATGGTGGCAATCGTTCAGCGACCGATAAAACAGCCACATTCGCACCAGGGCTGTAATTTTCAATCTGTCAGTGCACGCACACAGTGATGTGCACACTCACATTCTATGTGCGTTGCACACAATGCTTGTATTTTGAAGGTGCACGCACACTTAGTCACAAGTTTGACATTTTTGGCGGTTGGCAAATTTGTAACTAAGTGTGCGTGCATATTCAAAATACAAGCATTGTGTGCGACGCACATAGAATGTGAGTGTGCACACTACTGTGTGCGTGCACTGACAGAGTGAAAATTACAGCCCTGATTCGCACGCAAATTATTATTAAAATGCACAATTATGCAACAGAGACCAATGTGGTGAGATTTAAACTCACGATCAATATTCTTTGCAATTGCAATTCATTTCGCACGAAGCATTTGGTCTCTTCACATCAGATCCTAAGATAAAAAGGAAAATGTTCAGAAAAAACGATTTCTTTTTGGAATTTTTTTTGTGCAATTGAAGATTTATTCGTTGTTGTAAATATAAAAATAAATATCGAAAATGCAATTTTGTAACACTTCAATTAATATAAATTTTCGGTTTGGCCATGTCCGAAAATGTTGATAGTTTTCTCTTAGATAATCAATCTTAGATAATACTACTCGCTGACTGTTTCGAACACACCAGCAACGGCTTTGCCGACAATTTTGCCTGCAGTGCATGCATTGGTGGCATTTTTAAGTTCTGGCTCCAATTTAGTCAAATCTTTTTCAAGATTTGGATATTTGGCTAGATATTCAGGTTCAACTGCAGTTGAAAGTTCGCGAATAAAACTCTGAGTTCCATTTGTTAGAAATTTTCCATCTTCGTCAATCTAAAATTTAAAAAAATGAACCTTGAAAACCTATTCAATTGAATTATAACTATCATAGTTCATTCTAACCAAATAAAATTCTTGAAGCATACAGCCATAAAAGCAGTATTTTTGTTCATCACTGAGAGTTTCGACCTCCATCAGATTTAATACTTCCAAACAGTGGTCCATGGATTTGTCCAATTCGTCATTCTAATTTGAAAAAGTATTCTTGAAAATTAAAAAATAAATGAAATTAAAAGATTCACATCTTACTTGGGCTGCAACAAGAGTAGCGCATACAACAGCGATGACAACAAATGCGAATGATTTCATTTTAATTGATTTTTTTTTTGTTAGTGTTGTGATTGAAGAGTAATCAAATTCAACTGTGACTGCTATCACTCAAATGAGCCATTTTATAGTCGATTTTTTTGAATGGATTTCTTTCATTTGAATTCATCTATTATTCTCAAAAGTGATCTACTTTTATCATTCTTTATGTAGAAATTGGACCGTTTTGTTTGCATTGTTTTCGAAAGTTTGCTTCTGACCAAGGGGATTTCTTTGTTGCACAAAAGAGTTCCAAATTTCATTCATTCAAAGAAACAATAGAAATGTTTCAATAACCCGTTACCTGCTCACCATTTCTATATGGTTCATTTTTAGATAATGAACACACTTCAATTGTTCAGTGTTTACCTTGTCCGTACTCCATTGTTAGGTCACATTAATAATAAAAGTATTTCATTTATAGAATGCAAGAGAGAGTGAACACGGTATTCGACTGAATACTATGTTATAATTTCATCATATCGCATAACTTCTCATACTTACACACAGTGAAAAATCATTTTGCGTCAGATCGTAGCGATAGAACAGGAAATGGCAAAGGTGAATATAGTATACGGATGAATTACGTATGAATTGGAACCAAATCAAATTTCCTATGTGCTACACCGTCATATAAAAAAAAAATATCGAGAATATTCCGCACAACTTTTTTTTTCACAACCAAATTTCCTTTATTGTCTTGAACATCCGTCTCATGCTTCGTATTTCCATTTTCGTTTTATTGCCTCTCTATATTATTTATAACACGTCGTTTCGCTTATGTTCGCACTTTCAATTCCTTCAAGCGAAACATTTGAATGCAAGATATAATTTTATTTCCCTCTTTTTTTTGGCTCGGTTGCACATGTGAAAATGCCAACGAACATAAAATGGAAAAGAGAAACGAAGAAAATGAATCAGACACAATTCTTATAAAAGTTATCATAACAATAATAATCATATCTTCATATAAGATAAACTGGAAGTTTTTATCCGGTTCTTCAACAAAAACAGAGACGCAAAATTCATATTTTCCTTTTATTTTGGTTGAAGGTGCGACGCTAAAGGTAGCAGTAGTAGTTATCTGCTTTCGAATTATTTTTGTCAGTAAATTTTGCCAATTCGTATCAATTTAATCTTAAACCAATTGTTTAATCGAAAGCAAACAACTGGCTTGATCAGTTATCTTTTTTAATAATGACTCAGGTCGTTAATGATAAAACCGTATAGGAAGTGGCTTGTTGGGTTCTCTTGAAAAAAAAAAAGCGAGTGATTGAATTGTTTCGAAAAATTACAAATATCGTTCAATCAATTGAATCTATCTTTTTGATGTAATTTGTGATAAAATTATCCAGACGATATATTGAACTAACTGGTCAGTTGAGCTGACAGTACGTTAGCCAGCTAAATGGACTAAAACAATAGAAGTTATTGTTATAATGAACAATCACTTCTATTAAAACAAGAAAAGTGATTCAACATTAAAACAATAACGTCTATTGCTTTAGCCCATTTAGCTGGCTAACGTACTGTCAGCTTAACTGACCAGTTAATTCAATATATTGTCTGAAATTATCAGATATAATTTGACAGACGCAAGTGTTTTGGAACATTTTATTTGTACATCGGTAACGACGTGAGCCGAGTAAATATTAAACATGTGTGGTCGGGTGAATTGAGAAATCGTTACAATGTTTCGCACTCAATTTATCTTCTTATTAATTCGGTATTTATAAGCACTTTGAATATAATGAATTTAAAGTTTAAATTTTGAGTACATTTATTGGAAAAGTATCCATGGAATACTGTATTCAATGAAACTCAAGTGTTAATTTCAGCTTAAAAGTCAAAATATTTATTATTTTGATAAAAAATAGTCTGCATCAGTTTTATTGCAATTCTACCGGAATTACAGACATCTTTTGACGATTCAAATGCTTTTGTAACACTTTTCACCAGCTTCTTTGTATTCTCATTCCAATCATCGCCACTTAAAGCCTTGAAAATGTCTGGTAATTGCCAACGTTTTAAAGTTCCCTTTTCACCGATCTAAAAAAAGAAAGAAGAGAATATTCAGAGTTGACATATATATAATATACATTACAATCAACTGGTTCGTTCGAACAGAAACGTTGCAGTATCAAAATATTAAATGAAATACACTTACAATGTCCATTGCTTTTAAAATGCATCCAGCATAGCAAAAGATGTTTTTATCATCAACTAATTCGCCTGCCTCAATCTTTTGGACTTGAAATTTGTCCACGCCTGATTTCATGATACACATTGGCCGAGCATTTAGATATAATTTCGTCGCTTGTTCTATTATTAAATCAGTTTTCTTGGAATTTTTGACAAAAGAATTATCTTTTAATTCAAAAAATGATGTATTGAATTGTACAAAAATACCTGCAATTCCGCTGAAGCAGACAAAATCAAAATTAAAATCATTCCAAAAAATCTCATTTTGTCAGTAAATTTCCGTTTATCTTGAACTTGAAGTACGTCTTGATACGCAGAATGGCTCAACCCAATTGCGATGATTTCGGAGAAAATTGTTTTATTTTTAAATCTTTTGAAAGCTGTTCATGTAACACGAATGAAATATTTGTATTTGCCCATCTTTAGCAATATTTACATAAAAATGAAATACGTATCCATATTCTGCAACGACTTGAACTAGAAAATAAAGATACAAGAATCTTGAGTTCTTTAAAATTATCACTTGTCTATTCTGTATGAAGACTTTATTGTTTTTTGTGGACACCGAATAGGAAGTGTTTTCTTCTTTCATTTCAAAAGATAAGATTTAGTTCTCTGGATTTTTATAAAATAAAATGCGAAAACACTTGATGAAAACAAATAGGTATTTATTTTTTGGAATGGTATTACGTTACATTTAATGAATGATTGCTATAGAATAAAAACAGCGTATGAAAAGGTTGCATTTCAAAGCGAAACACCGTCATACAAAATACAGCAAAAAATGTATGTAAAAACCAGTGTGTCCATAACATATAGAAATAGCACTAAATAGTGTCGATATCTATACTATATTGGTCCACTATATATGTAAGATATTCCGCAAGACACCGTAGCTCACGATAGAAGTGAGTGCGGACGGCAAACATGTTGACGCATACACACAGTTCTTTCTACTGCCGCATGGCAATTTGTGATTTTTTCCGTCTACACTGGCTTCGATCGTGCGATACGGTGCCGTGCGGCAATATCTTTCATATATAGTGGACCGATATAGTATAGATATCGACACTATTTAGTGATATTTCTATATATTATGGACACACTGGTAAAAACAACCTTTGGTGTGCGACTGTATCATACGCTGTTTTTATTCTAGAGAATTCCAATGAGCGCTAATATCGTAGATTTTTCTTTATCGATTCCACCAATACGACATCTACTAAAATACTCGCCGATTTCTGTTACTAGTGGTGTTTTAATACAGCTCGTGTAAACGTACAAAGGAACACACTGACTCCGATTCTGTGTATGCGTATGTATTACAAATTCTGCACTCAGTCGTCAATCGTAGCTGCTTGTGCAAAATTTACAATACATACGCATACACAGGATCGGAGTCTGTGTGTTCTTTTGTATTAGTTCGTCTGTAATACAGCCATAGCCGTATAGTTCTGTGCTATAGCTGTGTCAATGCAACAGTAGTAACAAAAATCGGTATCTTTTTTAACAGATGTCGTATTCGTAGAATCGATAAAATTAATTTGTATGGGGAATATACGATACTAGTTCCCATCGGAGAATTTAAATATATATTTCAATTTGTTATTGAAGAAAAATTAACGAAAAATGATAAAATGTGTTTACTATTCACTCTATGCATATATTTTCAGAAATTTCTTCAGATAACTAGCGCATATGTATAGCTTTTAAGCTATCCTTTTGTTTCTCTGTCAGTCCAGATGTGGATGAAGAGGCCAATTCACCAGTAATTATGAATTCGGCCCAATTTTGACGTTTTGCGTTATAGTTATCAAGATCAGTTTTCATAGTTTTAATAAACTGATGCAAGTTGAATACATCTGAATTTAGTTGAATTACACTATTTTCTAGCCGTTCCAAATTTTCTTCTGTCATTGATTTCAAAATCCTGGAACTTGCCCTTTTTATGATAGACATACTGTCTTCTGCTATATATCTTAATACAGTTGGCAATTCAGAATTGAATTTTTTTAATCATTTTATCGCTGTCCCGTTTCATAGAACCTACAGCATTTTTAACATTTTGTATACTTTGCGCATTCGTTTGGCTTGATTGAGCCCATGTATTAAACAAAGCAGTGAATGTGGGTTTATTTGACGGTTTGTATGCGATTCTTTCAGAAATTTCTTCACTTAATTCATCGACTTCTTCGATTTGTTTAACCACTTTGTCCACTTGAGACGTAAGAAGGTTACGAGAATTTACTCCATTAAATTTTCTATCAGCTGGTATTATCTCAATTGCTTCTTTTAATCTCTGATAACTCGGATACGGAATCGTTGAATATTTCTTCAATGTCATCAATGTTGTTGGAAAGATCGAGCATGAAGTTCAATTTTGAATTCATTTTAACATTGGCATTGACTGCTTTATTATAAAATGTTTCCAGCAAGGATGAAAATGTCACACCATCTTGACCATTAATTAACTGGAAATAAATTATTTCTTAATCGTTGAACAATGTTTTATGTGAGAATCAATTTATACCTCAATGGATAGCGAAAGCGACAAGAGCACTAAAAATAAATTCATGATTTTCACTTGAAAGTTTCACTTCGTATACAATATTCGATGAATTATTTAGAAAATTATAGTTACCAGGTCCTTTATATTCGATTTCTTTCATCAAATTTAATATTTGACACGATACACGTGTTATTTTTTGACGATGTTAAAAAACAAATTCTGAACTTCGTTGATTTTGTAAATATTTCTTATTCTTACTGATGTTTAAAAATAACAATTTTCAAAACACATGAATTCAAAGACATATGTCATATAGTTGAAAGCATAGTAAAATTTGAGGCGTATAAATATTGAAGATTAATTGAGATGCCTAGATGAGTGACATATAATCGGGATTCTATTGTATTCATTCTATTTTCTATCGATTAACAGCAATTTATAAATGATTACATCAGTAACTAAATAGAAGAAATATTAGAAAAATAACAGATAAATTCAAAATTGTGGTTTTGGTGGCTTGAACATGTAAAACTTTTATTGTACTTAATTTTTTCTATTTATATTTGTCACAAATGATTTGTGTAATCTATTTTTTACCGAAAACTTTTAGCAGCTAAATACATGTCTTCTTCTTCTTTTCTTCTTGCTGATCTCGGCCAATCTGTCAATCCGACCAGAAAGTCTGCCCTTGTTATATGTTTTTTGCATTGTTTTTACATTTCGAAGGCTCCGAAAATCCCTTCAATTGAGAATTTGTATCATATGTATAAGCAATTAGTTCTACGGCATGTAATGAATTCTTATAAAAGCCATTTCCTTCTAAAAGTGCTTCGTATGTTCAATTCAATAATATGATTCTTCCTCTAGTGTCAAGTCTTAATTTATCTATTAATTTCACCTCTTTCTTAAATTCCTCGCGCATTTCATTAAATTTCGATTTCGTAGAGTTTACAACTTCTTTGACTCGTTGTATACATATATTCGTGGTCAAAAGATTTCGTCATTTAAATGCTTGATTTGGGCTGTGTAATTTATTATCAAATTGTTGTGCTCACGCAAAAAGGTGTGTTCACAATCTTTTCGATGAATTTTCCTTTTGTTGTCCATCTTTGGCATCGCCTTATTACACACTTGTTCATCCATCAATTCCTCCATTGGAGTTTTGAGTATGGTTTGAAGATCATGGATATAGTTGAAAATTACAAGTAGGAAATCCAACTGTGACTTCATTTTAACGCTCGCTGCAGCTGAATTATTGTAAAAAGTCTTCACTAGCAAAGAAAATGTCACTTGAAAACACAAAGGAGAATAAAAACGTAATTCCAAATTTTCGCTCTTATCTTAGCGAAAATGTCAAAAGCGATAGAAATAAAAATGACTTCATCATATGGTGACTTCGTTAAAAGTTGTTAAATACTTTAAAAGCGATCAATAATTAACAACATGGAGCGGAAATGAATGAGACGAAATTTTCTCTCTCACGGGCGCAGCCATATTGAAAATTTTGTATGCGCTTATATGTAAAATTGGTGGCGCCACTGGTATATTTGATGGAAAAAGAAGAACATGTTTGAGTCTCACTCGTTTATATGTAAATTACATAGGCATTTCCAGGCCATGATTAACAACAATTTCAAGATCTTTTATAAGCAGTTATCTGAAAGTTGACTTTATAAATATTTCGTGAGAAAAACGTGCGTTTTTTAGCGTAGACATGAAGATATTCAAAACAAAAACACATTTATATTATTTATTTTCACTTTTATATTTTCTGCCGTACTTTAAAAACTTTGATTGCAATCAACTTCATCCTTTTCATGGCAGTTTGTGGTTAATAATGTGTGTAATGCTCACAAGTAAAATAAAACAGAAGCTATTGAATGTTTTCTTCAATCATTTACTGTAACCAAATTCCTTGAACTAAATTACAATTCGAAAATGAAAATGTCATTTGAAGTAACATTTTATTGGAAGAATTTTAAAAATTGCACTTGGATAATGGATATTAGCCTTGAAAAGTTTCATAATCGTCAACATTCTTGAATATTTCGGCAAATTCTTCAACCGAATAAAGAAAGGTGGATCCAATTTTGCCTGCTTTACAAACATCAGCGGGTTTTCCAAAATCTACTTTGAGCTTATTGATCACGGCTCGATGTTTTGGCTTTGTTTCCAGATTCAATGAATTTTTCCATGCTATTTCTACAAGAGCATCGTTCAAGATACCATTTTCTTGAATCTGAAAAATATGCTTTATAGAAAATTTGTTTTTAAATGCGTTCTTTGCACTTACAAAATGCTTTTGCATCATTATGCATCCGATGAGACACGAATATTCATCTTTATGTTTAGTGGCCTCTTTCATTTCGTTGTAAATTTCTTCAGTGATGTTATACGTCTCCATACAAGCTTTTCGATCGTCATCATAAGCAAAGTCGAAAAATAGACGACGATTAAGGTCTGCAAGCACCAAAGAAATAAAAATCGAAAGCACAAGCCAATGAATTATTTTAAAATTGACGTGAAACATGTTTTCCGCGAAAAACACTCTATTTTATTTATTGAAGGATTGTTTGTGTGTTCGATTCAACGAAACTATTGACTAGATAGAATGAATTCTTCTTTTATATCACAAATTTACACAAACTATTGCATTACATCAATAAAATTTAATGAAAAAAAGTAGCTTAACGAGAAAGAAATTTGTATTCATCAAATAATCATATTCATGATCCAGCTGTAATGTGTGGAATGGACAATGTTAACGTTTCATCAACTAATGTATTGAAGGAAGTAATTAGTATTATCGCTTACATCAATTTCTAAAAATTAAAAATGAATTTAAATGAAGTATTAGAAAAAAATGAAAAAGTATGGTAATATGATGTGTCACGAAGACCTAGGAAAATAAAACCTTTTCTAAAATTGAATTGACTCAACTGCTCATTAAAAATAATGTAATAAAATACAATCTCACTGAAACTGCGCAATTTATTGGATTATTGGATTTGAACGGGGAGTGTACTGTTCTAAATGAATACAAAGTAAAACTCGTTGCTCAGGTTTCACAACCTATTGCAAGACGCCCGTGTGTGTATTATGATACACGAAATAGTCTTTATCCAAAAATATGTACGAGACATGGATTTTGTTCACATGCCCGCTTGAAAAATTGTACCAGTCTGAATACGTTAGGTGCATGAATCATCTGGTAGGATCTCCATCCAGTGAACCTGTCCCTAATTTCATTCAGCCTTGAACATCTGTCTACAAGATGGGATGTTGTTTCCACTTCATCACCACAAAGTCTACAGTCAGGGTCATCCCTAAGATTTAGCTTTCTTAGGTGATTATTGACTCTGGCATGTCCGGTTAGTAAGCCAATGACCATCCGTAGGTCTCCCTTGGAAAGCTCAGTCAGGTTGGCTGTAAGTTTGGGACATGGGAGCTGCACGAAATGTTTCGTTTGCTCACATGTAAAAGTACCCTGCCAATTGAGGCGGGCTCTATTTTTGAGCCATGTTGCAACAGTGCCCTTGACTCGTGAATAATCTATTGGTAGAAACGGTTCAGGTCCTTCCACTGCACTAAGGGATGCTGTTTTAGCAGCCCCATCTGCAAGGTCGTGCCCTCTTATACCAATATGCGACCTGATCCAAACAACTCTAAGATTGTTTGTTTCGGCAATACACTGTAATGCTCTGTAGCAGTTCATAACCAAGCTACTCTCCACCTTGAATCTTTGAAGATCCGATATAGCACCTAGGCTATCGGTGAAGATCGCAATGTTACCCTCCACAGTGCCCTCCATTATTTTGTTTGCACAATGAAAAATTCCAGCTATTTCGGCCTGTTTGACTGTTGTTATCCGTCCCAGGGGAATTGAGCGAGTACTGTTCTCTGTTTCACAGTAGAACCCACAGCCACTGCCTGTTTCTCTGACTGATCCATCAGTGAAAAAGGAGTGATGAGCCCACTCTTTTTGCTGGAAAAATTCATTTAGATTATTTGTTATTATAATCTCAAAACTCCTACTAAAATTGTAGGAGGAAGTCTTAAGTTTGTCAGAAGGAGCCTCAAGTACCCTTTCAATATTAAAAAGGTTTCTTAAGGCATTCCCATGTAATACCCTGGAACAAAAGTTCCCATTTACTTGAGTTCTCATTCTGAATGCCGTTTTCATTGCTTCGCCTTCTATGAAGTCCTCAAGCTTTGGCAGGCCCAGGAGAACATCAAGTGAATTTTGTGGTGTTGTTTTCATGGCCCCAGTAGCACTTAGACATGCTACTCTTTGCAAATGATTCAGTTTTTTCCTAGCACTGGCGCTTGTGGTGCCAGTCCACCAGATGAAAGAACCATATGCAAGCATAGGCTTGACAACAGCTGTGAAAAGCCATAAGAGACATTTAGGAGATAAACCCCATGATTTGCCAATGGCTGATCTACAGCACCAAAATACTCTCAAGCATTTCTTTATTCTATATTCAATGTGGTTTTGCCAACTGAGTTTCGAATCAAGTATGATGCCCAAGTATTTTACGTTATCACTTCTTTTGATTGTTGAACCAAAAAGAGTTGGGTTTCTGAAGCCCTGTAGGCTACGATTTTTTGTGAATATAATTAATTCTGATTTTGCGGGATTAACCCTGAGCCCCACCTCTCGACTGCGCAATTTACAAATGTAAGATATGCAAGTTCTCGCTATAATCAACTGCAAAAGCGACTTAAAAATCATAATGCAATATTTTTTTTAATTGCTACATCTGTTTTGTTTCAAATGACAAACTTTAAGCTCACGGTACCAAGCTCGGTAACACTGCTATGAAAAGAGTAGGTACTTCTCGGCTAAGTGTCAAGAACGTTCTTTGCTAGGTTCTTCGGTAGTTGTGTTGCCCATGATAAGCCATAATTCGTGAAACAAATTAGTTTTGCGTTACGTATCAATTTAGGTGAATTCAAAACAAACACAATCGATACATTTTTTTAACACCATAATACAGATAGATAAGTGCGATAAAAAAATTGATAGGTGGTACAGCATACGAGATTATTTCATGTAAAATGTGATAGATTTCATATAATTTATTTAAATGTGAGCAAATATTTCTTTTCGTGTACATTATTGCTGTTAATCTTAATTCAAATTATGTCACAAGGTAACCATTGAAATATAAACTTTCTGAACAAGATTGTCTGTTGTACAAGTGTCATTCACTTTATCCTTATATTTATCTGCAATGATTATCGATGCTTGTACAAACGCCTTGTCATGATCACCAAGATTAGCAACAACATGTTCAATGGTATTTTTATTTGGTTGTCCATTTTCCATAATCTATAAATAAAAAATATAAATCAAATTTTTGCAAACAATATACAGATCATACTAAGTCTGCTTTAAGTAAGATACATCCGAAAAGGCAAGCGTTATCAGAATCCATAATTTCTTCAAATTTATCTAAGCTAACGCCTTTTTTCGTCGCAACCTCTTTTCTACATTCTTCTAGTCCATCTTGCGAAAACTACATTTATAGAAGACATCGAATTTAGTTTGGTCGAATTTGGAGAAAAACAAAAAAACGTACTGCCCTAGTTATTGCCTCATATTCAGAATTGATTTGGTAGATGAAGGTGAAAATTAGAAGCCAACGAAGAACACTGAAACTTTTAACTAACATTGTATCAAACGCCAAATGGATCGCTTGTTGAATTTCAACTAAAGAGTAGCTTCAATTAAGTTGTTCTTTATACGAAATGAATTGCAGAGAACAAACACATTCTCATTTTTTGTTTCAATCAAATTATTGGCGCTTAATTAAAGCTTGTAATTCTAATTGTAATCATGCAAACTGACAATTATTCAATGGCGTATATGTTTTTATTAGAAAATGAGTTATGCCATATAACTTTAATTGACATAAATTAATCAATTTGCTTCATTAAAAAATTACAAACATCCAATGTTGTAAATATGTTCTATGTGTTTAGTCGTTTTGAATGCTTTTGATATTACCTACAATAGTTCAGAACTGTTTTTTCCTTCTCATCAGCTGAACATTTTAGCTTTATATGTTTCTTTTTATTATTTGTTAATAGCATAGCTAATAAAAATGTCAATTATAAACACCAATAATTAGATGCACACAAACAAATTCACACTTTATTATTCTTAATTCAAACACACAGAAACATGATGCAGAAAATGAACTACATTGGTTTCCGATTTGATTACTACTGTTTTTTTTTAAATTTAAATTCAAATTCCTTCATCAAGGCTTTCATTGAATTAAGCACCTTCTGAATAACACTTGCTGCTGATGTATAACAAAAAACAATTCTATTGCAATGTCTATGTTTGAATAGTATACTTTGTAAAATAATTGTGTAAAATTTATTTGGCCGACTTTGATCCTAAATTTTACATTCTGGAATAACCATATTTCTGGCCAACTTTTCCTGCAGAGCATGTATCGGATGCTTCTGATAATTCTTTTGAAAAATCGGCAATAATTGATTCCATTTTTGCTTTCTCGTTTGCGTCTTCGATTTCTGCAAAATATGCAGCAGCGGTTGTTTCGTTCATTTGTCCATTTTCGCAAATCTATCAAAAAAAATAATTATTCAGTGATATTCTTCTTGAATGGTATTTGCTAATGCCTACAATATTTTCCTTTAATAAGTAACAGCCAAAGAAACACGAATAATCATCGTTGGGTGCAGTAGCGTCTTCCATTTCCTGTACTTGTTCTTCGGTTACACCAAGTTCTTCCATGCACGCCAGTAATGAATCTGCATTTTCGAACAATTCCTTATGTTTCCATGAAATAAAAGAACTTGATCAGTTTAAAGTATGATTTATTTAGTAAATATTACGAAGTTTGTTACCACATTGTCAGCAATGACAAAACAAACACAGCTCACAACGAACAGAAATGTTAAATTATTGTACAACATTTTTATCCTCAAATCCGCATAGAGAATGACAACAATATGATTCGAATGTTCGACAAATGTCAACTGTTGACTCTTAAGCTTTGAGACCTTCTTTTATAACAACATAAGTACTAGGTAAAGATTTGAGATAATCCATGTTAATGTGAATTTAATTTCATAATTTTAACAAAGAGTCGGTTTTGGTTGTCTTATTTCCAAATCGCAGATATGAATTTAAATGATTAATAATCGAGACAAAATGAAGCTAATTCTTGATTTAGATCACTTCAAAGTTACAAAGTTTATTTAGAAAGTATTTTGAGTTGTAATAAAAGCATTAATTGAAGTGTAACATGCAAAAGCGAAATTAATTGATATCATCATTTGACGGAAGTACAGATTAACGCCTCGGTTGAGTTAGAAATGTCGCTGTTATTATTCAGAAACATAAGCCAAAGCAAAAACTTTGAAGGTCGATTGATGCACATTATTCAGATTTGAACGAAATGTGATTTTTTTTAGTATTGGAATAGAAATGCTCAATTTTCAGCCGGCAAAATCATTCACAAACATTTTAAATAGAAAAATGCGAATAATTCACAGAGATATTCTCCCTTTCACAAAACCGAAAATGTGTGCTCAAATCTGACGAGGAGCAACAAAAAAATAACAATCATAAAAGAAATAACAATCATGTTCCAACGAAAAGAAATATGCAATAATTTTTCTTCACATTTGGCATTGTAGAAAATTTATGGATATTTGCTTGTGCACCGAATCGTTGTCGCTACGATATCTTCATCATCACCATCCACCACAATCATCATATTTATCGTTTGAAATAATATAGTCGAGTGCACCCAAGAGACTTTTGCCTTCTTTTCCCTCATTTTTATGCCATAGACGGGCATAACCTTTTGCCACGTAAGTTTAACGTACCCAAATGCTTGCGTTCGCTCCTCTACAAACGACTTGCACTTTATAAATATGAATCAAGCTCTTACTTAAGAATTTCTCGTCGCCACATGGATATGTGTTTGAATAACGATGTACGACGTTGTTACATTTCTCGAAACGGGCACGCACTTGTACAAATTCAAATGGCATTGCTTCCTGTGCACGTGAGACACCGACTTTCGTTTGGTTTTTTTTTTGATATTACAATCATACAATCACATGGATAATCTTTTATTTATTTTCTCTTTCGTTTCGTTTTCTTGTGCGCTATTCGCGTGTGCGTGTATTCTTATAAATAAAAATGAAAATTGCCGTGATCTTTCTCACTTTTGCTTACATCGATTTTGCACGCAAATATATATGTCGATTACGTTGATTGCCGGTCGGAAGCGAATCGAATCGCATAAAAGCAATAGACAATTGCCGTCGTGCCAAGAAAACCATTTCAACAATTGAATTAGCTCTTGTTAGGGAAGACGAATTTTAGAAAAGAATGTGCCAATAGCAATCGATCTCTGATTTTATTGCTTCCGATTATAATTCCGAACTTGGCAACCAAATACATTTTAAATGTACTTTTGTTAATGAAAAAGCATCGTACTGCCATGAACAAACATTCGACGGCAACTTGTACGCACTTTACTTTCAAGTAAAATCTCCGCTGCAAAGAAGATAAACAAAGAACTAAACAGAGTAACCAAAAGTTGCCGACGATAAGGAAATCGTTTCAAGTTTCCGATGCTCACAGGAAACTATGAACTATATAGTCGTCCAGAGAATTCGAATTCCATTATTATCTTTGTATTGCAATAACTTTCGTCTGCAATTTAAATGCAATCTCTTAACTTTGACTAGCTTCAACGATTCTTCTCGAATCAATTCGGGCGATTTCGGAAATCAAAGACATTATTTCACACCATTTTTTGATCTAATTTTTTTATTGACATTTTTGATATTTTTACATAGAAAAATGTAAAAAAAAATGTATTAAAGTATTTCTTGTCCAACAAATTGAAAGTTTAAAGGAATTGAAATGAATATTTACTCTGATTTAGGCTCTGATTTAGGCTCTGATTTAGGCTCTGATTTGGGCTCTGATTTATGCTCTGATTTAAAACAATTCAATATTTTCGTTAATTTTGGCAGGAGTGACATATATGATGGTTTTGCAATCAAAAAGGCTTGAAATCGTTCTGAAATAACGGAGCCGAAATGAGATCTCCATAAAAGCACAGCTTCATTTCGTTCAGTTTGAATTGATTTGCCACAGGCAACTCCCAATTCAGCAAAAAGTGGTCCATCTCCTTTAATATCCTCTTGAGTACGTGAATAATTTTCCTTAGCGGCCGCGTCTAATATTTCATTTGCAATAATTTTGTGCCATCCATTCTCATCGATCTAAAGGAAATAAATGGATTTTTTTAAATTTTGATCAAGTTTAAAGTACATTGTACAATTGATTGCTCTATAATAAAAACAATATTGCATATCAAAGCGAAACCAGACGTTTTTCCATATAGATTTGTTGTTGTAATTCACAACAAGAAATCTATGTAAACGTTTTATTTTGCTTTGATATGCAACCATTTAATATGCTGTTTTTATTCTAGAGCAATCAATTCATCGACAAAGTGTGAAAAATGTGTTCGAAAATTAAATAATTGTCTTATCTACTTACTAAGCCGAGTTTTGATACCAAACAATGTAAATAACAAACACTATTCACTTGCACATCTTCCGATTCATTTTGGTGATTATTAAATGATTCCAACCAGGTTTTATTATAATTAACTATAAATTCGGTCAAATTCGCTTGGTCTATGCACGTTGTGTTTGCGTTATAAAACAACTCCAGAAATGGCTAAATAAATAGAAAGAAAAGATTGAATATTTTTTATTCTTTTTTTGACAAACATTTTTTTGAAATCAATACTTACGCTCTCAACTGCGGCAGTGAAGCAAATACAGCCCACCAGAAAGAAGAAAAATGTTGCCGATTTTTTAATAGACATTTTGTTGCTTTGATTTTCTATTCAAAGTCGAACTGAATGTGATCTCCAAAATTGTGTCCCTTTTTATACTTTGTGGACCGGATGTTCATTTCAAATAATATTTTATCATTATTCAAAATGTGGTCCAAGTAAAAACAATATGATAAAAGATTTTTGTGTTTTGTGGCCAAACTGTCGCATTTGTGCAATCAATTAAGGAAATACTTAATCTGTTTATAATGTATGCTTGATTATAATTGGTTCTTTACAACGGTCCAAACTTAAAAGAGAATAGTGTATTTTTCCATTTGTTTTTTATATCAAAAATCTTCTCATAACACCATGAGTTCCGCTTTGAAAAAAAACACGCAACAGAAAATAAGAATCACACACCCAAAATATATGTCGTAGAATAAAAATGAATAAGGCAATTGAAAAGATAAGAGTTGTTAACCAAGAAAGTTTTGATAAAAATATATGTAACTTAAGGCAAAGTAAATAGATTTTACTCGGTCCACACAAATATTTCACAGAATTGCATCCGCTTGACGTCTAGATTTCTATACGAATCAATTTACAATATAAATTCTTGCAATTTTTATTTCCTGCTACGCAAATCTCGACCAAATCATGCCAATTCAGATGACTTATTTCCACTTTTATCACACTTTGGCCGTAAAACTATTTTCAAAATGATTTCCATGAAACATAAAATTAACGATCCTCAATTCTTGTGGGGCAATTTGAATTTTTTATGGCATAATTTTGGGAAGCGCGATCGGGACAAATTTGTAATAAAATCATAAAAGCCGTTCTATACGTTTGTTGTAAATGATTAAATCCCTAAGCATTCGCATTTCAATAAATGCGGCATATTCATAGACAGGCAACACAATCCATTCAAAGTGTAGCAAATACGAGAATATAAACATAGAAAACAGAAGTGAAAAGTTTTCATTTGGCAATGGAAAACAAAGTGCATTGCAAATGTAATGTTTATTTGTTTTCGTCTATTTTAATACGGAAATATTTATGATTGAAACAAAAACATTTTGCGTTGACAACAAACGGGGTGGAAAGAGAGAGAGAGAGAGAGATACTCGCACAGTAATGCACAAATGAGTTTCGGCAACGATGCTGGAATGGAATTTAGTATATATATATTTGTGTGTGGTAGCAATTTAAAATGCTCCGAATGCTTGTTACCTTGTCATTTCGTTGATTGCCTGTTCATTGCGACCGGCTGGTTTCCCATGATTACGTCTGCTTGACAATTCAGAGGGAGACAAACCGCAAACGGCATACGCCATTTCTCGGTGTGTATTTTCAACAGATTTGTAACGCATAAAATGCAAACCGTCGAAACAACACACAAAAACGGGGAGAAGACAGAATTTGCGTGAGTTAAGCAACCATTGCCTCTTGTGTGCTAAAGAATTATATTGGATTTGCCAGAAGTTTTTTATGAGATTAAAAATGATTCGAATGTCTTTTGTGTTGTGAGTTTTCGCATCAGTTCAACGCAAAGTTGAAATGAAATTATGATGGAAAGTATTTTCAGATGGAAAGAGATGAGAGTACAGACATAACGGCAGAGATTGAGGATGACAGTATAATGGTAGAATCGAATTTTTAGATGACAATTTCTCTCTTGTTATTTTATATTACAATTGTCATAATAATTTCGTTTATGATGTGATTAAACACTTGTAAAGATGTTTTCGCTGCGATGTATTATCATTGTGCTTAATGCATTCTTAATGGCATATTATTTTATTTGTTTTTCCGATTTATGTGCCTTTATTTGTGCCTCAACCGTTTTCAATGACGTGCGCGCGCGCGTGTAGTGTCGAATCCGCCAACGGTGCAACCAGGCTTGGAAACAACACAATCTGCCAACGATGCTTTCGACGATGATGACAGTGAAGAGGCAATTACAGACGATAATGAAAGCAACATCATCAATATTGTAGACAAATGTAATAAGATTTTCTTCCACTTTATCCCGACTCTTGACTTTGGACCTTGTTTATTATTTCATTTTACAAAGGATTTGTTTTATTTATCAAAACTTATTTTAAGTTAAAAAGTTATTTTTCGTTTTTTTTTTCATTATATCCTTTTTCTACCTAGTAATTTTTTCTGATTTTCCAACGTTTCAGCTACCAAGTATCAATCGAATTTGAATGAAATTGACAAATTTGAGCACAAATCTTCGCTAGATGAATTGAACAAAGGATATGGTTGGCCAACTGGTCACATTGGCATCAATTTAGGTGAGTGTAAAAATGCCAAGCATTAAGTTTCCCTAAAATACACACTCAACTTACAAACATAAGCAATTATTATATTACAAACTTTATATCGTCCAACAACAAAACAAAACAGGGATAAAGCAGCATCCGCATAGCATTATCATTCACTGGATATGTACGCTACTCATAATTTTATATTTACATTTTTAAAAACATGAACAAAAATATAAAAGAAAATGCAGGGTTTTGTAATATACAACAAAAATAAAACAACAAAATATTCTCGAAATCTGAAACAATAACTGTTACCAGACACACAACAAATTAAAATGTAAAACACTCATCGGATGAAAATGAAGTCATCGTATGAAGTTAATATTTATCAGCCGAAGAGCAGTTGCAGGCGCAAACAATGTTAATTCGACGTGTGAGCGCTATTAAAGCGAGCGCTGATGTGTGAAAACAAAACAAAACAAAAAAATCAGTTATGAAAAGAGTTGAGCCATCATCAATATATACGTTAGATTTAAGGTTTTATTTGATTTGTTGACTAGTGTATCATTTCGAAATATGACGCGTATGTATATTTAATTAAATGTTAAAAGTTTTTGCGTGAAACTCTAAATTGACGTTTCAGTTTTACTTCGTTGGCATATCAACCATATCGAAATTTTGGAGAGAATCATATCATTATAGTCAATCACAGAAAACAAATAACTTTTTTTGCGTTCTCATTTTGCAAAATAGTCTAGACAAATTGTTATCGATGGATTATAAAAGAAAAAAAAAGAGAGAGAATAACACAAACAACTAGTCAACCAAGAAAGATTGTGTGCGATGTGGAATGGAATTGACAATGACATTCACGTTTTGATGATTCAGATTTGAAACAATAACAAAAGGTTTCGCTGCAAATTCAATCTTTACTGGGCGATACATTTTGTTGAAGTAGTTAAATCGCATAAGAAGTCGGAGAATTGTCATTTTTGTCAACTGAAAAAAATGACGAGAAAAAAGCCTTCATAGACCAGAAGTCCGTCTATCTATCGTAAGTTCGATCGCATGAAAAAGAACAAAACAGGTCATCTGTTGACCATGGATCATTCAGAACATCCTCTATAACCTTACTCTTTTTCTTCCTTAAAAACGAAATTTTGTTGAAAAAAAAAAACTTGATTTTCATTTGAAATCAGAAAAAAGAGAAATAATCATTTGTTCACTTTGAGTGATGCTACCCATTTTTTTTAAATGTTCAATGTCATTTTACAATACCATTGCACTTGGCACCGTAAATCATATACGTAGTATTCTATTAAGGCATCAAAGACGTTTCAATGTACACCAAGCATATATTCCGACATATAAATATATATTTAAAGAGGTGATTATTAAATATTTTGATGAGAATACACACACTATTTATTTAAAGCATAGTTTAATGTTAATCAATTAGCTGTAGCGATGAAAATGAAGCATTTTGCAGAAACAGAGAATGATAAATAATGCGAGTGTGCATCCGACATGATGACGATGATAATTGATTGTCACACTAAAATAGTCATTAAAATGAGTCGAGCGAAACATCAATGAGAGAGATGGAAAGTGAGAAACGACAACTTGTCTCTCAAATTGCTCAATATGAAATGAACAACAACCGTATCAATGAATATATATTATTATTTTATTAAAATAACTCAAACATAATCAACAACCCGACAGTAATGGCGAAACATTTATTGGATTTATTGAAATCGCAAATGAACAATCTAGCAAATAAATCAAGTATCTTGCTTTCAAGTTTTCACCGTGTGTATTATTTCGAAACTTTGATTTTGTCGATGCTTTCATTCGGTACAAAAGGTAAGAATTTCATGCATAAAACTTCAATATTTTTTATAGCAAAACATTTAATTTGAGTGTTGTTTTTGCAAAATTATTATATATATATCACATTTGAACATATACACGGCTTTTAGTTTTCATAAGAAGCACCTTTTTTACAGAGAAACAATAATTGATTTATCCTTATTGAATTCAATGTTTGATATTGAAATGCACTTTCTGACTTGAAACGATTCTGTCGAGACAATCAGTTCAATCGTGAATACAAAATGCGAACGAAAAATAAAATCGATTTCATATCTTTAACAACTGAAAGTAGATAGATATTTGTTCGCAATAGAAAAAAAATGTATCAGACATGCAATCGATTTCGGATTCATTGAATGAGAGAAAAACTGAATACTAAAACCGGAAGAGACCAAATTCTTTGACATGTCAAAAAGCATGAAATGCACATAGTACGAAAATTAAATCAAATAATTCAAAAGAGTATAAGTAGCTCGCAGAAGAATCTCGGATGTGTTTTAACAATTGAGAGTCACTGTATAGCGCAGACAAAAATAGACACGGAAACCGAATTCATTTTATCCCTCCCACTTCTCCCCCACCTCTCTCTCTCTCTCTCTCTCTCTCTCTCGTTCATCATTATATATTCATATTTGCAATAAAAATAAAATTTTATCTGTATTTACAATCCGGCGTTTGGTTTTGTCGATGCTCTGTTACATTTTCATATCGTTTTTTTCTCTCTTCTTTATTGTTTGTTGTCTGTTCGAATGTGATTCTTGTGTTAGCATCTACGATGAAAAAAAAAAGAAGAACGAATGCCTGTGCACAATGAATGAAGGAAGTTTATTTTATTTGTAATTCCGTTTTTATTATCTTCTTTTTCATTCATCCACGTGAGCCTCAATGCCGACACTCGTTCATTCACCATCTCGTTTGTCTGTGCCATACAACAGCCCTAAAGAATGCACAAACAATGGTAATTCATATATTTTGGCGCTCAAGTAGTGTGTATACTACACACTCGAAAAGCCCAAAGAGTCTTGAATGCGCTTTCGAAAATTCAGAAAGTTTTCCATACTTCGGAGTCTACCTTTTTTTCCATAACTTTCATTTTTATTCATTTACTGCACAACGGTGAATTGAATGTTTCATGCATGAAATGAAGTTGCCTGTAATACATACTCTTGTTGGTAGGTAAGTAAGTGAGCACCAGAAAATGCAACCAAACTGCATGCAAAGCACTCAGGACAATAGTTTCAGCCATTGTCTTAATGCCATTGTTTTTAATAATTTCGCCTTCCGTTTTTGTGACACACAAAAAAAAGTCGCAAGCAGTTTGAAGATATAATTTAAATGAAAAATGACTGTATTTGTAATTCCATTTAAAGTTTTTCGCTCTCGCGTAATCTAATTTATAATCGATTTCTCGAGATTCTCTATACTTGGGATTTTCGCATTTCATTTTAGTAAAAACTATTGGTCATGTTTTTTTTTTTTCAAAAACCATCGGAACCTTTTCGAAGCAGCAAAATCCATGGCCAGACTTATGTAAGTTAAAATGGAAGAAAAAAGCGATAAACGAATAGTTTTATATTTACCATCAAATAAAATGCATTTACATATTTCATTTCGGCTGGTCGAACATGTCAAACTATCCAACTTCTTCAATATTTATTTAAATATTTCCTGTCGTCGTCATCCATCCGAGTCGCGTACATTCGCAAAATGGATGGCATTTTGTTCAATAATTTTATTTATTATTAACATTGGAAGATAGAGATTTCAAAAAGTCCCAAGCAAGAAAAAACTATACTCCCAACAAATTTCCAATAAACCAATTTTGCATTGAAAATATGATTTGATTTGCTATGGATTTATGCCGCACTGAAAGGAAAATGCATTTCTATCTTAAAATGCAAAATTTTCAATTATATTGCTGTTATAATATTTTCAGCTTCTGTTATGGACGTCATCAATATGGAAGTTTTTATGTGAATATTAAGAAATTGGTTTTCATTTCGACAAATAATTTTGTTTGAAAAAAAAAAAACGAAAAATCGAATCGCACAACGAGCTTAATATAATGCAAAAGCAAGATATTGCCTTATAATAAAAAAAATGCGCTGAGCTAACTCTTGATTCGTGTCTTTTGATCGGAATGTTGTTTTGTATTGATAACGAAAACGAATCAACTCGATCCATCTCTTGCAATAAATAAAACAGAATGTTTGCCCTTGATTTGTTATTTTCAATTTCCGATAACAGTTGGTACATTTAATTTTAATGTGGCGAAATGCTCGTCGATTTTCTACATTCAGTACGGTATTGAAATCGAAATATAATCGATAACGATTCAAGCGATTTAACATGAAATTCATTAGACGCGGCATGCCAAAAATGAAAACACCATCTCCAGTACAGATACTGAATGCTGTTTGGCATGTACCAGTTACGTAATTGAACGCATTTACACTTGTAAATATTCCAACCTTCGGTGTCTATCATTTTCTCTATCTCCATGCCATTTCTCCTTTCTTTACCGCACAATCTTATACGCTGTGACACACGATTTACATCGATATGAACAAGCTAAATTGAGTTGAAACAGCAACTCATCGAAAATTAATGAAACACATCACAACGCAACCGATTCGAAAACGTTTGTTCGAATTAAATCGATTTCATGTCTTTCGATTTGAGATTCTTTTGTGACAATCTGATGTTAAACATTGACCGGAATTCGAAAACAACTATCTCATCTAAATGGCAATGTGTAAAATTCTTTACGCATTTGGGCAATTTTCAATTCCTTTCGCAAATGGTTTAAATGTTATTGATCGACCAGTATAGCTCATTTTGAATTTTAAATCAGGATTTTCAATACAACAAACCGTTTTCAGTCAGTCAGCGCTTGCAATTACAAACAGAATCCTCAAATTATACCAGATATGAAAAACGACCACTTTGAAGTATCACTTGCAATAATCAGAGCCAAATAATAATATATGAATCGAATGCAATACATCTGATGCGTACTAGCTAGCACTCGACTGCGATGTACAATGGAAATCAATTGCTTTTGTGAGAATGGTGGCCGTGTGCGAGGTGTTGAGTGTATGTGAAACGGTAGCGTATTGTGTGCATTGAAATGGATTACAAAAATAACAGATAATACTGGCAATATGCTGTTTGCTGATGTCGATAAGCCTTACAACCTTACAACCAACTGATGAATTACGGTTTTTACCAACAAACCACATGCGCACGTCCGACAATTCAAATACAACTACAACCAAATGAATAAATCGCATTCTTCACAAGCTGGACTACCGATTACTTTCCATTACCGATGGGAATATTTAAATTTTTGCATTTAAAAGCAAAACGTAGATTCATTTAATTATTTTATGCATGAGTAACGTGCATTCTTACCAACCACATGTAATTCTATTTATGATTGCAATTGTAAATTATTGATGTTTTGAAGCACTTGTAGTGACTGGTGCAATTATCGGTAGAAAAATATCGGGCCTATTTTTCCTGTTAAATTCCGAATACATTTTTGTAGTTCGATTTTAAAATTGTTTGCACAAATGGAGTGATCGAGTTGCAGAAATTCTAATTTTAAAAAATGTTTTCAAAACAACAGATAGAAATCAACGTTTTTTGTATGACGAATAATTTACTTCTTATAATGAGAGACTTTATGCCACGCGCCACTAATTGAATAGAATGACTGTTTTATTTTGGTTTTAATTGACTGACTGTGATTGTTGTTTTTCTCGATTATCTCAGTCGATTTAAAGTGGATGATTTTATTCATTTTTTTATCATTTTTATTTTTGATGGCGTTTCATATAATCGAAGTGGTTTCTATTTTTTACGATGAATATTTAACTGTCGCCAAATTTTGGTTACTCCAGAACAATTTCATCAGCTGTGAACTGAAATTGACAAAGCATGCCATGAAATGGGTAAGGCAACAACAAAAACTGGTTCTAACCCACAAATGTTTGCATCGTTCAAGAGTCAATTGAAAGTCAATAAATTGAAAGTAATAAAACGGTTGATGGAAAGACCTTTAGATGTTTTTAAATATTATTTATTTATACATAAAAGTACTTTATTCTTTATTAACAACTAATATTTACAAATATTAAAAATAATTTGAATGTGCAAATGATTTGATTGGATAAGAAGCTCCTACTTAGTCAGCCTTGCGCGGCACAAATTCGATATGAATTCCTGTTTCAGTAGCCCAATTGACTACACATTTGACGATTTTCAAGGGAATTTGTGTTTTTTCGTATGGTTGCATCGAATAGTTTAACAATATATTGAATAATATTGCTTTCATGGCCATATTGGCGAATCTTAGTCCTTAAAGAAAAAAAAAGAAAAAAATATTATCAGTTTTGATTTTTTCTCAAGTCGTTTGTTCCAGAAAAATGCATTTGAATGATTTTTCTTTAAATCATCTGTGATAAAGTCTAGGATAAAGTAAGTTACTTACCAATGCAACTACCTGAAAATAAAAAAAATATTGATTTTTCGATAAGAATTTTTGCTGTCAACGTGATTGTAATGAATTGTATAAATTAAGTAACAATGACTTACGTGGTCCTACTCCGAATGGGATGAATGAATAAGGTTTTATTTTTGGTTTGTTTTCTTCATTAAATCTTTCTGGGTCGAATATATGTGGATTCTCAAAGTGCAGTGGATCATTTTGAATGGAATAGATTGGAATCCACAAGACTTGTCCTTTATTAATTGTAACTGTATTGCCATCTAAATTAACACTATAGTCTTTGGTGCATTTTCGGTTGGTAAATGTTCCTGGGGGATATTTTCTTAAAGTTTCATTCAAAACTTGGTCCATGTACTTCATTTTCGAAAGTGCATCGTAGTTCAATGCAGTTCCCTGTTCACTATCCTTGGACAGAGTACTGTTCACTTCAAGGATCTCCGCGTATAATTTCTGTTGTATGTCTTGATTGATTGCCAATTCATATGATAGAAAAGACAACAGTGTGGATGTAGTTTCAAAACCCGCGACGAAGAAAACGAAACACTGAGAAACAATTTCATCATCTTGCCAAATGCTTTTCAATTTAATTTGTTGATTGTTTAATTTGTTCTTTTCGGAAAAACTGGTATCATTACAATGAGTCTCTTCGTTAAGTCGTCTAAATAAACATTCTTTGCGTAGTTCCATTAAAATATTAATCATATCGTGTCGAACAATATTCTTTTTCTGTCGTTCTGCCATCGTATCTAAAACCATCGATTTAAAAAATCGATTAACACTAGCCGGAAAAATTTCAAAGTTTATTAGCTGCGTCAATCGTGGAAGTGCTCGAACCAAAAGCATTCGTAAGCAGAATTGTGGCGATTCGAAATCGACACAACTCTCTCCAGTAACATAAAAATCATTGTGTCTTTCTCTTAGTGAATCAGTTTTCGCTCCAAATGCACACGATGCAATAACATCGGCCATATATCGAGCGTAGAAGTCCTTCATTTCATAGCGAATCGGTTGCTGTTGTTTGACTTGTTCAATGAAAAGTGTTTCTATACTTTTTACACAGTCAACGACCAGCTCAAACATAAGTCGCATTTTCTTTCCGGTGAATGCAGGCGTCAAATTTGCTCGCATTTCACGCCATTTATTCGTACTCAATATGAACAAGCTCTTTCCAAACAGAGAAGTCGTATTGCTTTCAATGATGCCATCATGATCTTCAAAATGATCAAAATCTTTCACCATAATTTGACGTAAAAGGTCCAGATCGCGCGGCATATATACTGGCTCTCTCATGTCATAAAATCCGACCAACCTTTAGAAAAATCAATATGAAAAATACACAAAATTTATATCAGAATGTCTCGTTCGAATAAATTAAAATTCAAAAAAAAAAAAAAACTATTGGAACTAAAACGTACTTTTCTTTTGGAAAACTATAGTAAATTGAATCAATGAAATCAGCCGGAGTGTATTGTCGAAATATAAGCCATATTGTATGGCCAAAACCAAACTTTGGTTTCAAATATTTCAATTTTTGCTCTTCGAAAAAGTTTTTATTCGCTGTGACATATTTGAAGAGACAATATAGGGTTATCACAATCAAGAATAATACCAAAATCATTGTTAGCACTTCTTAAAATATCGTAAATTTTATTAGAAATATTTTATTATTTAATTATATTTTATGATCGCGTTCGAGTTAATCAATGTAAAGGAAATTTCCAATGTAAAGGAAACAAAACTTTAAATTGCACTTTTCAATATTCTGTAGCACTTGAGATTCGATCGACTCTCTACCAAAAACTAACTTTCATCTATGAATGCAATTGTCTTATATGGTTTTCGCTAGCTAATGCCAACTTTGTTGCATTTAATGGATGCAAGCAAACGAGTTAAAGTTCCGCGTAACTTGCCGCGTAATCATATGATATTTCTTTCCACGTGTGGCTAATAGCCACGTGCCATTTATTAGTTCCAGCTCTCTCTGTTTCTCTCCTTCCATCACACACGCTGTTGTGTGTTCACATTTTTGTCATTCGTATACAAAACCTAAATATACGTTGCTTAAAGCAGTTTAGCGGTTTCATGCGCGTGTAGCAAGTTTTTTTTTCTATTTGCGTGCAAAAACAAAATTCATCCATATAAAGCTTTTTCAACACACATTGAATGTGTCACTTTAACTTATAGTAGCACATTTCCAATAAAAACTTTATTGCTTCTTTTCCAGATGATTGGCGTGGTAAGTAATACTTACTAAGTATGCTGAAATTGTTCGAATTTAAATAAAAATCTGAAGACTTTAACATTATATTTTTCATTATTTTTCTTTTATTAAGAAATTTTTCTCACAAGAAAAAAATTGACAATATAAGTAAAAGTTTTGCAATTAAATAGAAAAATGTGTATAGAAATGATATCGATACAAAATTAGTAGCTAATTTCGCGGTTTGAATTCGACATGAATTCCCTTTTCAGTTACCTACAGAAGAATCACAAAAGAAAAGAATGAAAATAATTTGTTTGTTAGATGAGTGAAAAAGGTAAAACAATTTTTCAGTTACCCATCCAACGGCTGATTTAGCAATTTTCAATGGAATTTGCGTTTTTTCATATGGCTGAATAGTAAAGTTCAGTAACAAATAGAAGAACAATGCCTTGATCTCCATGAGAGCAAACCGAGAACCTGCAAATATTCATGTTTTAATTCATAATTAGTAAAAATCATACAAAAAGATGAAGTTTTGATTTACCTATGCAATTTCTTGGTCCAATTCCGAATGGTATGAACGAGCCTGCTTTGATTTTATGCTTGTTTTCGTCATTGAATCGCTCTGGATTGAATTGTTTCGGAGATTCATAGATATCTGGATCGTGATGAATAGAGCTGATCGGAAGCCAAATCGTTTTTCCACGTTCAATTAAAAATTTATTCCCATTCACATCACACTCATAGTCCTTGGTGCATTTTCTGTTCGTGAATATCGCTGGGGGCCACTTTCTTAGAGTCTCAGAAACAACTTGATCCATATACTTCATTTTCAAAAGTGTGTCATAGTTTAGGCGGGCACCATTCAAAGTGTTGTTTACATCACGAATCTCCTCGTACAATCTCTTTTGAATGTCTTGATTAATGGCCAATTCATATGACAAAAACGATAAAACAGTTGATGCCGTATCAAAACCAGCGGCGAAAAATAAAAAACACTGTGAGATAATTTCGTCATCATCCCACGTCCTTTTCACTTGTACCTTGCCAATACTTGACTCTTCAGCCGTTGCAAAACCGGCGTCATCATTCGACGCTTCATCATGTTGATGAGTTAAATTGCCACTGCGCACTTGCATCAATATATTGATCATATCCGGTCGGATAATATGATTCTTTTCTCGTTCGGCGATTGTGTCCAAAACCATTGATTTGAAGAATTTCTTTGTACGAAGCGGAAAAAATTCGAAATTTATCGCACGCATCAGTTTGGGTAGCGTTCGAATGAGTAACATACGTAATCCAACTTTCAATGAACTGAAATTCAAACTATTCGTTCCGATCGTAAAAAATTCATTGGTGCGATCTTTTAATGAATCAACTTTCAATCCAAATGCACACGACGCAATTACATCGGATGTGTAGCGTGAGAAGAGCTCTTTCATTTCCCATCGAATCAATTTACCTTGTTCAACATCTTTAACCAAATATTTTGCCATATCTTCTGCACATTCAACAACCAATTCAAACATATGACGCATTTTACTGCCTGTGAATGCTGGACTCAGTGTGGCTCTCATGTCTCGCCACTTTTGCTCGCTCAATAGAAACAAACTTTTGCCAAACAATGTATCTGATTCACTGTCGATAAAACCAACATGATCTTCAAAATTGTCGAAATCTTTTATTGCAATTTGACGAATAAATTCCAAATCACGTGCAAAATAGACCGGCTCTCGCATATCGAAGAAACCAATTAACCTATTTTGGAAGGAGATTCACATATTAAAAGAAGACACAAGAAAAAGTAAAAAAAACATACTTTTCGTTTGGAAAGTGGTAGTATATCTTATCCATGAAATCAGCCGGAGTATATCGTCGAAGAA